GAGCTTCAGTGAGCCTCAGTTTGATCCCGTGTTTAGTGTCTTCGGAAGCTCGCTTTACACGAATGTCCTGTTTGGTACGGTCCTTTCGGAGATGGACTTCGTTGGTGGTTGGCGGGTGCTCTGATGTGGTTTGCTTCTTCTTCCTATCAAACATATATCTTCTTTTTCTCCCCTCCTTCTTTTTTGTGTACGTTACTCTATTGTGACATCTAATCTTCGGCACTTATACTTATATGACCTTATAATGTTGCAAGTGCCGTAAAACTCTTACTAAAACTAAACTAAAGGAGATGAACTTACACCACCAGGACAGTGCTTCTGACTGAAGTGTCTTTAGGCCATTCTCAAAGGGGGTATGTTAACTTGTTCTTGTGCACAGTAGAATTGGTCTGTTTTAAGGACAAGCGGGCTAACCTAGATTCTGTGGGTTTTCAGAAATCTTGACCTACACCAAAAGCGGGCATTGCCCTAGCTATAGGAGAAGTTTGGTTTCATTGGTGTGTATATTTGTTTGGTTGTAAAGAAAACTCTCCCCGTCTTTTAAAGAAACTGAACAAGTGTCCAAAAAACTGTATCTTCGATTTTCTCAAAACCGCATTTTTCGGGATAGCCCCCGTATGCTTAAAATAAATAAAAGCAACCAATTTTAAATGGGCTGATTTATCAATGTGATGCTCATACTGTGCCGGAACAACATAGGGGGAACTGCTGCTTTTTCTTTCTTCACCCTTATTATCGTCATTTTTCCTCTACTTCTTTTGTATGTTTGTCAATCTCTTTTGAACTGCTATTTTCGGGGTGCCTTGATAGTTGCAGCAGACTTTGTGCTGTTGAGGCTAGAGAGGTCAGCAGAGTAAGCCTGATTCCCCGTTTGGACTTCTCTGTTGACATCCCCTCCTTGGCGCTCATATTACCATATTATGCAGTTGCGAACGACGTAAAATCTTTACTAAAACTAAAAGAAGATGGACGATGAACTCGGAGGTACCGCCTCCTCCTTC